CCCAACTCCCCACCCCATCCCCGCTCCCTCCGCAACTCCTCTCCCTCCGTAGTTCTTCCTCGGCAATCAGGTACAGTTTGCCTTGCAATGCTGTCTCTCATCTCTTTTTTATTATTATTTTTCTTTTAAATTTTCTTTTTCTTGGTAACAAATGTAGCTTTGTGTGTCCGTGATGCTGCTCTGTCCTTTGTTGCTATGGGAGGATGTGATCTGTGAGCGCTGCTCAGCCGAGCCTGGTACAGAGAAGTGCTTGAGCTGGGAGAGCCACTCAAAAAAAATGATGAAAAAAGGGGAAAATTCAATGGAAAAAGCAAGATTTGACAAAAACGGAGAGATTTTTTTTCTCTCTGTGGCTCCTTTCTTGGATACATTGGAGATGTTGATGGTAACTAGTGGCCAACCACGGCACCCTGCGGCGGGGAGCACTGAGATACAGACAGGCTCGTGCCCGGCACTGCCCTCCCTTTGGGGACAGCCTGGGTGAAATCACGGGGGTACAACCCCCAGCACAGGGGCTGTACCAGGCTCTGGGTGGGTTTGGATCGCAACCACCATGGAATGAGAATGTTTAATCCTGTAGGTAACGATAACTAAACCCTCATCCCTGCTATACCCACTGAGTAACTCCTAACTGGAGCAAAGCTGACAAACCCGCATGTGTCCCCGGTGCTGCCATGACCCGAGATGAGCGGTGCCATGTGTGTTGAGTGCCGGCTGGTTTGGGGGCCAGAGCTTTTTTTTTAACAGGACTCAAACAGAAAAGGTTGTTTTGGGGTTTTTTTCCATGTGAAATGATAGTGTCTTACCAAAAACAGGCCCCAAAAAGAAACAAACCTGGATGTTGGAAGTGAGTGGATCCAAGAGAGCTCTGGCTTTAATTTAGACTGTGGTTATAGAAACGTTTTCAACAGCAACTAAACAATAATGTAGATGTAGAGATGGAAATCAGAATTAAGATGTCCCTGGTCTTCCCTGGTGCAGAACTGGCTCTCAAAGGACACCTTACGTAGAGCCCTGAGAGAGGGGAGGTGGCTCCCCTGCCCTCCTCCCTGCCCGCAGACACCATGGCCATTGCTGAGCACATTTTGGGGGGACCCCCGAGCAGGGAGACCCACCAGTCCAGGGTCCCATATCCCCACGGGAAGCAGGGTTGGAGGTGCTGTGACCTCCTGTCCCTCTGCCTGCTGTGGCCCACCTCAGTGTGGCTTTGCACTCTCTGTTTTCATTCAGTTTCTCTGGTTTTTGTGTTCTTATCCACCCAGGGAAAATGTTACTGCTTTTGCTTTTTTTTTTTTTTCCTTTTTTTTTGTTACTCTGAAGATGTTCTTGCTTGCAAAGGCTGGTTCCCCTGTCTTCTCCTCACAGCAGGTGCTCTGTAGACCTGGATGCAGAGCTGCTACATCCAAGCCAGGCTCCCAGTGTCCCACACCAGCTCTGCTGACTTCCCAGTGCCTGGGCTTGGCTATCCAGGAGATTTAGGGAGCTTTGACAAGCAGACACATGCTTTTGATTCAAAATGCACTTGTTTGAAATTGCAGGTGTTTAAAATCACTAATGAACATTGCAGTCACTAATCAACATTGCTGTGGGATTCCTGCCTGGATTCCCATCACTCTGCACTCACTGAAACATCCTCACTGGGTGATCTCTGCGGCGCGGGGGCTTTCTGGGTGGTGGGATCAAGTGTGAGGCTCAGTGAGATCCCTGGACTTCAGACTTGATGAGGAGAGGTTTCTTGCTCGGTGGTGATGTAGCACTGCTTGCCTGGCTGATTCACCGGTGCTTGGTGATCAGGATCAGCTGGCTCTGCTCCACGTGGGCTGCACCAGGAGGGTCATTGCATTGCCAGCCTCTATTTCCTTCATATTAAAAGGAAAAATTACAATTCTGGCTGAGAAAACCCATCTAAAGAGCAAATTCCAAGTTCTCATTTGCTGCTCTAAGAAATTCTCTCTTTCCAACTTTAAAGGGTTTGGATAGTTTCATCACCTTAAAACCACGCAGCAGAAAAACTCCTGTAAGTTGGTACTAGGCTGCACTTCTTCCAGAAGAACCTGTCTGGAGAAACCTTAAAAATATTCAATAGATTGTGGTGGTTTCACTCAAAACCACCAAAAACCAGATTGTGGTGGTTTCAGCAAAACCAGGACATAGCTGAATAAAAGCATTTGGGACCACACTGAGCATCTCCAAGAGCTTTGCCCTGGTGCAGCCCGCTGTGGGAAGGAGCCCAGTGTCCCTTGTTGTGTCCCCCTTTATCTAAACTGGTTTTTGGCTCCGCAGTTCGGCGATTCCCAGCAGCTGCGGCTGGTCCGTATCCTGAGGAGCACGGTCATGGTTCGTGTTGGTGGAGGATGGATGGCCCTGGATGAATTTTTAGTGAAGAATGATCCTTGCAGAGGTAAGGCAATTCCTGGGTTTTTATACAACTGGTGTCTTCTCACCCAGTAAAGGGAGTTTGAGAACTTGTCTGTTGTGATTGTGAATGACCAGATGGTACTAGAGCTGGTCTGAGTTATCCAAATAACAGGTGGGAGCTGGGCTCACCTCTTTCCCAAAACCATCAGTCTTGAGGTGAGAGTTTTTGGTCTGGAAGCGATGCTCTGCTGCGACCAGCCGAGAGCTGTGACCAGGGGAAAGAGAAGGATTAGCAAGGGGGATGGCCAGGAATGAAGTGCACCAAGGTGCAAGGAGACAGGAATCCAACACGTTCTCCCATCAGAAATGTCCATCTCTGTTTCACGTAGCCAGGAGCTCTCGCAGGAGCGTCCCCCAGTGTGGTTCACGGGTGGGCTGAGCAGCTCTGCCCTGGCAAAGAAGAGAGCAGGAACCCATGAGAGGGGACCAGAACCCTTCCTTCCTTCCTGCCCCATTGCTCCAGCAGGAAAGGAACATTTAATACGCAGCCCACTGTGTATTTTAGAGAGCTGGGGTCTGTACTCCATATGTCCATCTCTCACTGGGGTCTCTGAGATGTTAATTGCTTGGGAAATGTTCTTCAAGCTGCTGCCTAACCCTTCCTTGCTCCTGCTGTCTAACGGCTGTTGCTGAAAGCAACATGATTTACAGTGTGTGCTGCTCGCTTTGGGGAACCTTCAGAGTTTTCCTGCTCCTCCAACCTCCCCCCGTTGGTGCTTCACAACAGCTGGTTTACAGTGCTGACATGGAGGTTGTTTCCATCCCTTGGTTATCTCAGTGTGGTGCTTCCCTTCTGTGACTGCTTCCTTGGATTTCTGCTCCCTAATGCATCCACTCTAAAACCTCTTCCATGTCCTGCAGGGCTCGGTCCGTGCCCTTGCTCTCTGATCAGATGCCATGAGTATGAAACACGTTGACGTGCATCAGCTGGCCCAGGAGATGAAGTCCACAGACCTTCTTCCTCCTTGGTTGCCCCTTGCTTGTTGAAGGGAGACCCTACAGCTCTTTGAGGCATTGGGATGAAAATTTACAAGTTGGTTTTTAATGGATGGTGTTAACTTCTCTCCCTCTTCTCTCTCCAAAACCTGATGAAGAGCTGCCCAGAGCTGTGAGAGAGCAGAACTGCAACCTTTCAAAGCTGCTTTTACTGTTTTTAAGCTGTGTTAAAGACGACCTCGGCCGCTGTTTTAACATGCCATGTTTAAAGGCCATTGAGATTGCTCTCCCCAAGACACTAGAGAATAGTAGAGCCTCCAGTATGAACTCATGGGCCTCAGGCAGCTTTTAATCAGCCAGTTTCTCAACGAGCTGATCTGTGGCAGGAGGTGGTTAGGGTGGAGGAACAGAGTTGGGATGGTCTCGCTACCGTCTGCTCGCCCTCGGAGATGGGCTTTGGGACACATCGCAAGGACACGCGCTCCCACCCCTGGAGCTTCTGAGCCCCAGTAACAATGTCAGGTTCACGTGAACCTCAGGTCTCCTCTCCTTTGTCTCCTTCCAGCACGAGGACGGACCAACCTTGAACTCCGAGAGAAATTCATCTTGCCAGAGGGAGCCTCCCAGGGAATGACCCCGTTCCGATCGCGAGGCCGAAGATCAAAACCATCCTCCCGGGCAGCCTCCCCGACACGATCCAGTTCCAGCGCCAGCCAGAGCAACCACAGCTGTGACTCCATGCCATCCTCTCCTGCAACTCCAGGCCAAGGTGGGGTTCACATGTGAAACCTTCTTCTTTCCTCTCCTTTAGAAACCAGCAGCCTCTGAACCCGCCCTGGCGCGATGAGGAGCTGCAGGAGCTGTATGGAGGAGGAGGAAGGTTGGGACTTGGGGGCTTGATGGCTACTGTGGTCTCTAGGAGATGTTGATGCTGTCTGCAGGAAGAACCCTGTTGTCCAGGTGGGATGGGTGGGGTGGGATGGTGCAGGACAGGTTTTCAGCCCAGGCTGGGTGCTCACAGCTCCACAGGAGGGTCCTAGGGTCTCACTGTGCAGCTGAAGGCTCTTGGTCCCCAAGGCAGGGCTGTGCCGCAGCCGTGGTGTCAGGCCGGTGTGCAGGAAGAAGCCATCGCCCATCGTCTCTCCTTTCCCACCACATTGGTCACCTGTGCCTGTTTTATTTCATCATCTGTTTGGGTTTTTTCCCCTTTATTTTAATTTATATATTTCCAGTTTGGTTCTCGTTTCATTTTAGTGCCGTTTTCCCCCATTCCAGATACTTTTTTCCATTCCTTTTTTTTTTTTTTTTTCTACTCAATCCCACCTCTCCCTTCCTTGGATTTTCCATTTCACAGACTCCACATCACTTCTCTCGATGTTATGACAAACCCTGGTTGATAAACAGTAAAGCGGGCACCCCTCTGAGGGGATTCGATTATTCCGACTTCCAGCTCTCGAGCGCCGAGGTAGAGTATGGGCTGGCAGCCCCGAGGACCTGCCGACAGGCTGGAGTGCCCCTGGCACCAAGAAATTCTGCTCCTTTGCCTGTTTTAACCCTTTCCTTGTGATAGAGCAGCTTGTTAGCACCGCTAACGCTCGGGCTGGTGGCGTTTTTCATGAGTTTCTAACTCGGATTCAATACAAAAATCGACCTCCGAATAAAGCGCGACGGTTTGTAATTCCCCTTTACAAACCACGGGAGGGACGTTTCTCCTCTCGTTTTTTCTGAGCTTTAATAGCTTTGAAGCGTTGAAAAGAGGCTGTTTTTGGCTTTCAAAAAACCAAATTGAAATCTGGTAGCCGAGTTGAGACTTGAAAATCAGCTGCAGCGCATGCGCAGTAACCACCTCGCCTTCGTTTTTATGAAGCGCTTTGTATTTCTCACCGTCTTGAAGCACGTCTGGTGTGTCCGGCACTGTCACCAGCTTGATGGATGTTCCCAGGAGGATGAATTCAGGCTGAGACTTTGATCTCCCTAAAGTTTCAGCCTCCTCATGGACTTTCTTGACCTTGTGAATCGATGATGAGAATGACCGGGTAGATCTCGGGTGATTCACGGTGTGTGCCGGCAAGATAACTGTGTCTTGCTCGGCGATGCTTTCACGCAGAAAAGGAATGATTTAAAATCATCAGAAGGTCAGGAGCACTGCCCCATCTTCCCTAAATTGCCTGCTTGCTGCTCTTAACATGTCAATAAAATAGGATCAAGGACAAGAATCGAGATCTCTGATGATGAGAACGGTACCGTCGCAATCACGTGTCAATGGATTTTCATTCCCCCGGTGCCCGGAGGGGCTGCCCCTCTCCCACCGCCCTCTCCCCTACTGCAGCTCCAGTTTCACACCATTTCCCAATTCCTAAATTTCCTCAAATCCACAAAAATCACCTGGGGTGGAGGGAAACCTCTCCAGCTGTTGCTTTAAAGCTCATTGGGAAACGCTCTGCGGTGTTAATGTCCATCTGTCCGGGGATGCAGCTGAGCTGGGGCTGTCCCCACGGTGATGCCTCCCCAAACCCCAGGGGACAGGGGACACCATGGGCAGTCGCTTCCCTCCAGCGCTGCCCCAAACCCAGAGCTTTGGTTGATGTATAGAAACTGGAGCTGCTCTTTCCAACTGGATCCAGGTGCCCTTGCCCTGCTGGCACCCTGTCCTGCCAGCACCTTGGCATTCTTCTGCAGCGGTGGGAGCAGAGCTGCCTCTTCTGCTGCTTTTCCAACCCTTCATCTTCATTTGCAACATCTTAAAGGTCAAGGAAAGCCCTGAGGGACCAAAGTGGATTGACTTCTTTTTGTGTCCTTGGTCATCGCTGGTGCCTCGCTGCTCCAATTCTTCTGCCCTTGGGTGGTGGGTCCAGAGACCTGGCTGGGTCACCAGCACTGGGTGACGTCCCACCACCTCACAGCACCGCGCTGCGCTGATACCTCCTGACAACAGGATCTGGTTCTCAAGGCGCTGCGTTGTATTCGACCTTCTAAAATGGTCCTGAGATGCTTAAATGCAAAAACACCTATTTTTACAAGATTTCACCTTCTCTTTGGGGAGCTTTTGAGCCCAGGTGATGCCATCCTTCACGGATGGATAGCAGCTTTGCTTTTCTATTTCTATTTTTTCCCAAACAGAATTATCTGTGTGTCAGCCCACAGCACACAAACCGCCTTGCCCTCCAAATTTTCAGCATCCAGACTTTTTTCATTAACCGCTGCTGAAACAACGGCTTGTGTTCTCCTTGACCATTAAGATGGGGTTTTCCTTCAATGTCAAAATCTTTTTTGCTGAGTTACTGATCTCAGATGTGATCTTGGCCCGTTACAGCCCAGGTGACACCTAAAAGATGCTCTGTGTGTGCTTCCTCCCAAGGTGACTCCCTCTGCGGGCAGCAAGCTGAAGCGACCAACCTTCCACTCCAGCCGAACCTCCTTGGCTGGGGACACCAGTAACAGCTCCTCACCAGTCTCTACAGGTGCCAAAACCAGTCGGACAGGTAAGTTAAGTGCAAAAAAGACCCCAAAATTTCTGCTCCTGCTCTTCTTACTCGGTTGCTTAAATTGGCAGAGAAAATATGAAATATTTAGGGACCTCCCAGCACGTCGGGGAGGCTGGTGGCCACCGTTGTGTCCCTGCCTGGGCAAGGGGACACTGCAGGGGTTTTGTGGCGTGAGGACACGCTGCTGCTTCATTAAAAACTCAGGAATTAATGAGTCCTGATGATGAACCTCCCAGTTTCAGGGGTGCTGGGTAGGTGGTTGAACACAGCCACACGCGGGTTGCGGGAACTCAGTCATGGACTCTGCCACACGATCAATATGATCAAGCAAGAAGCCATTTATTTGTTCTAAGACAGTTATATTTATACCCTGAAATCACCCACCCCTGTTAACATGTTCTTGGCTCTTCACTCACAGCACGAGCAGTTCACATGCCCCTAATTGGCTGGTGGACTTTGCCTGCATCCCTTCCTGTTTGCTTGCCAGGGTACATCTTTTGGATACACTTCAAGGTTCCTTTCTCAGGCCTTGTTGATGCAGGTGCTTCTCATATCTCCAGACATGTATCCCTTCAGTTGCCACCGTCCTCTCAGGGTACACCAATACACATTCTCACGCTCCCCACAATGGGTGATGCTGGGGGTTTTGGGTGCTGGTTGGTCTGAGGATGGAGAGGAATCATCATTATCTTCATCCTCCTCCTCCCACTGGCTCACAGTGCTTGTGGCTCCCTTTACAGATCCTAAAAAAGCAGCCAGTCGTCCCACCAGCCGCGCCGGGAGCCGCACGGGGAGCCGGGCCAGCAGCCGGCGGGGAAGCGACGCCTCCGATTTTGACCTGTTGGAAACACAATCGGCGTGTTCGGACACTTCGGAAAGCAGCGTGGCCGGCGGGCAGGGCGGCTCGCGCCGGGGAATGGCCAAACCCTCCAAAATCCCAACCATGTCCAAGAAAACAACCACTGCCACCCCAAAAACTCCAGGCCCTAAAAGATAATACTGTACCCGCGCCCTCCTGAAAGAAAGAAAACCCAAACTGTGTCCAATTTTTAACCCTGCTACGTACATTGGATGTATATTTATTCTAAATGGGAGAAACTATATTGTTAAAAGTGTAAAAGAAAAGTTGTGTTATGAAGCTGCCTTATTTCCAACTTTATACAATTAGTATTTTTTTTTTTTTTTTTTTTTTTGTAAGTTACTATTTTCATGTGAATATTTATGTAGATAAAAATTGCCTCTTGGTGACCCCTGTTTAGAGAGGGGCCTGGAAAATTGAAATGTGGGAGAAAGAGAAAAAAAAAAGAAAAAAGAAAAAAAAAAAGAAAAAGAAAAAAAAAGGAAGCAAAAAAAAAAAAAAAGGTCAAGATGTGAAAGTGTAAAGAAAAACTAAAATATAAATAGGATTTCTGCGCGGTGCAGGGTGTGAACCTGCTTTATCTTTTAGGATTGTTTCCTAAATGCATCTTTATAAACTTAACTTGCTGTCTCAGCAAGGTAAATTATATTTAAAAACAAAGACCTGAATCCTACAGTGTTCAAGGAACTCTCTTTTTTTTTTGTAAATCACAGATACCTCAACCAGAGAAACGTGAGGTGAGGGGACTTGGGGGTTATGTTTCCATTTTTTTAAAAAGCTACGTGGTTTTACCTGAAGAAAGCGGGAGTTTGACTTAATAAAATTTGCACACACTACAGCGAAGCTCATGACAATTGCTGTCTTGAAAAATACTGTCCCCATAACTTCGGGGGGGTTTTTTTTAGTGAACAAACACGTGGGGAGGGGTTTGGGGAGGGGGCTCACGCTGAAGCTGGCCGGAGGAGAGCACGCTGGTAAGATTGCAGGTCTGGATCACTCGGATACATCCTTTAGCGGTGGTGGGTCCTACAAATTGGAGGATTCTTCTGAATCGATGATCTAAGAGACCGACCCAAGATGTTCCTTACAGAATCACTATTTATCCACATCTCTCTCTTATTTTTTTTTTTCCTATTTATTATTTAACTGGTCATTCCACTTTCCAACCAGGCTGAGATTGATGTGACCTCTGCTCCTAGAAGAAATCTGGACTTTAACACGCACAGTCGCTTGTCCTTGAAATGAGTCTCACCAGCACACTCGCTACAAGTCCTGTCTCGCTTTTGTACGCTACTTTTTTCTTTGTAATAAAATCAAACTGACCAAGTGACCAGGAGATGAGCTGGGGGTGGTGGGGTTGGGGAGAGCTCTCCAGAGCTCCTGTATTTATTAAATAATTGTTCCTCTCCGGCTCTGACCGTGTTGCTGTGTGATTCTCTCAATTGGATGAAATTGAGGCAAAACTGAAGCTCTACCAATGAATTGTTTCCAAACCAGACACATTTTTGTATTAAAATTGCTTGCGGTAATAAACAATCTTGCCTCCTACTTTATTCCGCAGTGTTGGCTTTGTAAAGTGCGAGAGCTGGAGGTGAGGTGACGAGCCGCGCGGGGAGGTGACGCCTGTGCCACAGGTTTCCTTGCAGAACCTTGGAACAGGAAACTACCAGCTCCAAAATTAAAAGGTCCAGGTGGGTTGGATGGGTGCTGGTGTGGGTCCTTGGTGGTGTGGGTACCTTGTGGTGAGGTGGGCACCCACTGGTGAGGGTGCTGACTGATGAGGGTACCCGTTGGCGTGGGTGTTTGTGGGTGAGCACTTGGTGAGGCGCGTGCGTGGTGGGGTTGGGTGTTGGTGAGGTGGGTGCTCGGTGAGGTTTGTGTCCATGGGGTTGGGTGCACAGAGTGAGGACCCATTGTATTAGGGTGCCCATGGGGATAAGTGCTGCTGAAGTGGGTGCCTGTGAGGGTGGATGCACAGGTTGGGTGCCCGTGGGGTTGGGTGTGGGGTTGGGTGGCCACAGGAGTGAATGTCCATGGGTTTGAGTGCCCACAGGGATGATTATCCATAGAGATGGGTTCTTACGGATTTGGGTGCCCACAGGGGTGAGCATCCATAGGGTTGGATGAACATGGCTTTCAGTGTCAGTTAGGGTGGGTGACTGTGAGCTTGGGTGTCAGTGTGGGTGGGTGCCCATGGGTTTGAGTGCCCATGGGGTTGAGCATCCATAGAGGTGGGTGTTTATGGATTTGGGTGCCCACAGGGCTGAGCATCCAAAGTTGGGTGCCTATGGATTTGGGTGTCAATGGTGGTGGGTGCCCATGGGTTTGGTTGCTCACAAAGGTGAGCATCCCTAG